GGCCCCGCTGCGTCCGCCCGCCCTGCCGCGCCCGGCGCCTTCGTCCTCCCGCGCCCGAGAGGTCTTGGGGCGCCGGGGGACGCGCAGCGTGGGCTCCGCCGAAGGTTTGCGGGGCGGTGGTGCAGCCCGACCGGCTGAGTTCCCGTTAGAGTCCGGGTGACCTCCGACCCCTGACCTGGCCCCGCGCCCGCCCCTCCGCTCTCCGCCGCCGGAAGCTGCCCCCGAGAGCCTTTTGTGTTCGGGGGAGGGGACATGAGGTGCCAGCGGGGAACCGCTGTCTGGTGTGGGGTGACGGATTGGTATTGTTGATGCAAGTAAATTAGGCAAGATTGCGGGGTGGAGGAGGGGACAGGACGCGTTTGTAAGGGTCGCCGGGAGTCGAAATCCGCTCGACGGCAGCAGGTTTGCTTTTTTTAGTCCATTAAACAAACCGAAGTTGTATTTCTGGTCAGTTAAGCTTTAATAAACTTGACATTTTCTAATGAATGGGAGTAGATTTGGCATTTATGTGGTTTAACTGAGCTTCAGACTTTTTTTTTTTTAATTGTCACACAGTTTTTGGTACCGGGCCCTGGTGGGTCAGTGGTTAAGGGCTGCTAACCGAAGGTCGGCAGTTCGAATCCACCAGCTGCTCCTTGGAAACCCTATGGGGCAGTTCTACTCTGTCCTACTGGGTCGCTCTGAGTCGGAATCAACTCGAGGGCAACGGGTTTATTTTTTTTATACCTTTTTTTCCAGAATGGGATGCAGTATTATAGAGAGAATTTGTTTTGAGGATTATGTGATCAAACTCTGCCTTTCGTACTTAGCGTTCAGATTCTCGAGGACGCTTTCTTGGACGTACATTTAACTGAAGCTAGGACTAGATAGTCTTCTCTTGCTCTTTATGATTCAGTTGTGTAAAGAAAATGTCAACAAAAATTTTATTCACATCTCGAGATACTATTCTTAAGCATGCATGTTATAAATGAGTATCTTATTTGGAATGTATAAGTTTCTGAGTGATATGCACAGTATTTTTGATTAGCTAACAGATGCCTGCACTTTGCAGGACTCAATAAATATTTTTCAAATTTTAAATGAATCTTTTTGGAAGTGAAGACAAAGTCCTCTCTCTGAATTCCATCTTAAGATTGTTTTCTACTGAAGTCCAGACAGCTGTTAATAAAATGCCCCATAGCCTAACATGCATCCCAAATTGTACGGTATGAAAGGCAAACAAGTCCTGTTTGCTAGTGAGAAGCCAGGCCTTTCAAGAACGTGCCTTTGTTGTAGATTCAAACTATATTAATTAATCCAGCAGGGTGTGATCCCCTTTTATCTTTGTACAAAGTAGGTGCTTAAGTATCTAAACGAGTTGTGGATCCTCAGTTTGGGGTGAGTTCCAAAGGATATAATAAATATATCTTTTGGATCATGACTTTCTCATTAATTCAGCAGACATTTTTGGTGATTTCTGTTCTGCTGGGCACTTTTCTGGGGAATCAGAGATAAAGAGTCCAGCTTGTCAGAGAGCCCGCAGTCCAGTGGGTGAGAGAGAAAAATCAACAGAAGTGTCTGAGTCCTTCCAAGTTTCTTCCAAGCCCTCCCAAACCTGCTTTCCCAAAATTTTCATCAAACTCAGTGAGGAAAATGTGAAAGAGCATTACTTTGGGGTTCACTCCATCTTTTTGCCTGACTTTGGGATGACCAACTTTTTAAAAAGAAATGAAGTTCTGTAAAATTCACTGGGCTCAAGGCAGTGTTTTACAGTTATTAAACTAATTCTTGAAATTTTTTTGTGCCAATAATGCGAACATATAGCTCTCACTCTGTGCCAGCAGCACTTTCCAAATGTCCTTCAAAATTGTCTGAGCTAGCTACTATTATCTTTGTTTTACAGATGAGGAAATTGAGGCACAGAGGTAAGGTCATGGATACCAGATAGTACAGTAAGTGGTACAACTGGGATTCAGACCCAGACAGGCTGCCTTCAGAGTCCACACCCTCAACCAGTACACTATACTGGCCCATCAACAAGGTACATCTGTTGCTTGGAAGCTGTAATTTTTGAGTGCTGAATGTTTTTCTTTGTTTCTTTTTAATGTTCACGCAAACATGTTTAGAATAACTTCATGATGTCTATCCCCTGATGTCCTTTACCAGCATCTTAATAAACAATTGCATACCAGCATCTTAAGTAAATAGTTACGTAGTACTAATCAGGATTAGAGCCCTGATGGCGTAGTGGCTTAAGAGCTCAGCTGCTAAGCAAAATGGTTGGCAGTTCAAATCCACCAGCTGCTCCTTGGAAACCCTGTGGCGCAGTTCTACTCTGTCCTGTAGGGTCACTGTGAGTCGGAATCGACTCGATGGCACTGGGCTTTTTTTTTTTTTTTTAAATCGTAGTTAGGATTCTTGGTAGCACAGTAGTTAAGAGCTCCGGCTGCTAACGAAAGGGTCAGCAATTCAAATCTACCAGCTGCTCCTTGGAAACCATATGGGGCAGTTCTGCTCTATCTTGTAGGGTCACTATGAATCGCAGTCGACTCAATGGCAGTGGGTTTTGGTTTTAGTGATAGTTAAGGAGGGCAGTGGAGTTAAGTGGTACAGTTCACCTTCCATGCAGGAGACCCAGTTCGATTCTTGGCCAGTGTACCTCAGGTGCAGCCACCACCCATCTGTCAGTGAAGGCTTGCATATTACGATCCTGAACAGGTTTCAGCAGAGCTTCCTAAGATGGACTAGGAAGAAAACCCTGGTGACATACTTCCGAAAAATCAGCAGATGAAAACCATATAGATCACAATGGCCTGATCCTTGTTGTGCGTGGGGTCGCCACGAGTCGGGGCAGCTGACAACAGTGAGGATTGAAGCTACCATTTACCGAGAGCCTCCTACCGTCTCTCCCTGTGCTGAGTGTTTTAGATGTCTCACGTAATCCTCAGCATGTTCCTAGGATGGAGATGCATTTGTGAGGGGTTGTTACTGTCTTCAGAGTGCTTTCACCCTTTAATAATCCCCTTGCTTCTCTCCATCTGTCAGTCAGAGGTACTGCCATCACTGAATTTCATTGCCGCGGTTGGCCAGCTTAGATGACTTGCCTTGACAGGCATGTGATGGAGCTACAGCTCAGACCAGGGCTTCAGACTCCTCTGTCTCCTGCTTTTTCCACTGTCCTGGGTTGTCAGTACATCTTTGCTGTGTACTTCTTGTCCTAAAATAGACCCTCTTTTTCCATAGGAACAGCTTGTATTTGGAGATTGCATTCCCAATCCAAACATCAAGATTAAATCGTAGGTATGACTGCCTGTAAACCTTTGTCACTATTTCCGTTTGTAGATCTGTGTTCCAGCTTTGTATACAGTGCCTGCACATGGTGGGCGCTCAGTAACTGAGTAGAATCACAGGAGTCTCATGTACGTGAATATAAACGGTTCCTAGAATTCTTTAAGTGTGAACCACAACCTCCCCACCCCACAAACAGAAACTTTCAGAATGGTTTCATTGAATCATAACTAATTTAAAAACGTGTTAGGCTCTCTCTCTGCTCTGAGCCATCATTCCCAGCCTGAGGTCTCTCCCATATTATACATCTTGTGTATAATGGGAAGGGCATGGATTTGGGAGTCAGTTTTACCTGGATTTGAATCCTTGGTCTGCCCCTTATTAGCTCTGTGGCCTCGTGCAAGTTACTTAACTTCTCTGAACCTTAGTCTTGCCATTTAGTGAAATTGGGGACAGCACCTGTGTTTTGGGAGTGTGGTGAGAGTTAATTGAAACAACGTGTAAAAGGCCGAGCAGGTGCCAGCCTCCTAGGGTAGACTGTAAGGAACAGCTGTTCCCTGTCCCTCCTCTGCGCCTCTCTAACTGCCCTCTCTGGCTCTCCGGATATTCTGTTCAGATTCTCTGTCTGTTTGCCAGTGTTCCTCACCAGACCATAAACTCCTTGAGACCAAGGACCATACCATACTTATTTTTATACTCCCAAATATTGGGACTCACTCCATATTTATTGGACTAAATCCATTTGGAAAGGCAAACCAAAACCAGGCCCACCGCCCTTGAGTCTGTTCTGACTCTTAGCAACCCTAGAGGACACAGCAGAACTACCCCATAGGGTTTTCAACACTGTAACTTTACGGAAGCTGACCGCCACGTCTTTCTCCTGCAGAGCAGCTAGTGGGTTTGAACTGCTTACCTTTAGGTTAGCAGATGAGCACTTTAGCTACTGCGCCACCAGGGCTCCCTTGTGAGCCTTGTTTCACAGTGACCTAAAAGTCATGGGCACCCTCCACTAAGAAGAGGGTGCTGGGTGTGGTATTCAAGGGCTCCTGATTGAGCTGGAGAGCGATAGGGGGAGAGATGTGTGGAGAGCCGGGGGGAGGAGCGAGGGGAGTGTGGGGAGCCGGGGCGGAGGGGAGAAGCCTGGGGAGCTGGGGGGAGACGTGTGGAGAGACGGGGGGAGGAGCGAGGGGAGTGGGGGAGCCTGGTGGAGACGCGTGGGGAGCCGGGGGGGAGATGCGTGGGGAGAAGTGGGGAGCCAGGGGTGAGAAACGGGAAGACGGAGGGAGATGTGTGGGGAGAAGAGGGGGAGAAGCCTGGGGAGACGTGTGGGGAGAAGAAGGGGAGAAGCCTGAGAAGAGGGGGAGAAGCCTGGGGAGACGGGGGGAGACGTGTGGGGAGACCAGGGGGAGAAGCCTGGGGAGCTGGGGGGAGAGGCGAGGGGAGCTTGTGCTCTGCAGGGATGGGTATGGGAGGTGCAGGATCCAGGAGGGGTTCCAGCACCTTCCCTTTTTATGTAGGAGTGTCAGTGGGTGTCTTTTTGTGTGGGTGTTAGCATTAAACATTATCAGGCAACTGTCATATTGCTTCTGAAGATGAAGAGAAGAACTTGGCAAAGAAAAATTGTTTCAAATGTAAAAATACTAATTACAGCTGTTTTTGTAACCTTCCATCATTTGTAACTAATAATCACACGTACAGAAACAACTGTGATGCTTATCCTGAAATGTCCGATTAACTTGATTTTAAGTTTCGTTTGTTACATCTGTAAAACTTCACCGTGCCCAATCTTTATTGTTTGCAGTGTGGACGTTGACTCACAGAAGAATAAAGGGAATATTGCTTAGGAATTGAATGCAGTCATAATTCTTTTTAATCAGCTATGTTTGTTTTTTAACAGTTCAGTTCTACCATCCGTGAATTGCTAATGAGGCACACTTAAGGATTTTTTTTTAAAGGAAGATAAATTGTACATTTTATTATGAAAAATTTTTAATATACAGCAAAGTTAAAAGAATTTTATACTGAGCACACATATACCCACCACCTAGATTCTACCATTAGTATTTTATTATAGTTTCTTATCACATATTTATCTGTCTATCCTTCTCTCCATCCATCCATCAATCCATAATCAAATGCTCTTATATTTAAAGAGATTTGGGCTATATATTGTATGTTCATTTTAGGTCAGATTTATTTTTCTTTTATATAGAATCAGATTCTTAAGAATCACATAACTGATCTATAATGTTCTGAAAAACATTGGGTTTTAAATGGAAATCAGTTTGTCCTCCCTGTTTCTAGCTCTAAAAGATGAGTCGTGGATATTCAGAAAACAACAATTTCCTGAGCAATAACAACCAAATGGTGCTGGACATGCTCCTCTATCCGTTAATCGGAATCCCTCAGACCATCCACTGGGAAGCTGTGGCAAGGCTTGTGCCTGGATTAACACCCAAAGAGGTAAAGAATAACCCCTAAATATCTCCTGAAAAACATCAAGAAAAGTGATCAATTTAAAGAAACAACTGAGAGTGAGAAAAGCGTTTTCCATGTTCGCATGCATGTATGGACACTGTACACACGTACCCATGTGATTTGACCAGGGGCAAACTATAAATTGTATATTAACCCACATGGTATGTTTTAAACTCAACTGCATCTTACATGTTTACAACAATGAAGATTCACTAATCTTAATTTAAGCAGTAGAAGGGTACCTATAAAATCATGGGTAAATAAAATTTTTGTAAATCAAGTTATATGTTAAATCCTTAATGCTACATTTCTCAGCTTTAAGTAATGTACAGACCTTTTAAAGGAAAAAGATTTGGGCGCTCCCAATATTGACTTAGATTATTTTTTATTATAATGTAAATTAAATAGGCACTCACAGTACATGATATGAACCTTGTACAACTACAAGCCAAGTCTGCATTGTGTAGACACAAGTAAAAACGAAAACCAACCCAGTTCAAACTAGTAGTGCTAATTTAACGTAACGAGGACGAATATTTTGCTGAAATTAAATTGCTGATTACAACGTGAATATTGTGCAGTCTGTCACGACACGGATTCTTTGGCCTTCAGCCTGTACTGCCGTGTGCCTTTCGGTACCTTAGTGCTTTCACCGCTGTCCTCCTTTAAACTGCTGTGAAGCCTTACACCGAATCATGCCGTTGTCTGCCTTCACTTAGCACCGATGCATCTCTCCTCTTCCAAGTCCCTTCCCTACCTTTGCCCTTTTTTTTAATGAGCCTTGGACAATTAAAATAATATTTCTCGTTATCAATTTAACTGTAATCAGCAAAGCAAATGGCACGGAAACGTTCTGTCATCCCGATAGTCTAGATAATTTTAATTTTAAAAATTGTTCAAATTTTTTCTTAATTTTTCCTCAGACTCAAAAGTTAAATTCAAAAAATTATTATACAGAATTTTCTTAGATTTCTACTAATTCATCCATGAACTCTTAATTTGAGAAACATAAGACCTCAGAATTTTTGTTGTTCAGAGGAATCTTAAATTGGATCTCAGAGTTTCAGAAGTAGAAATGATGTTAGGGGTTTTCCCCAGTAGGTTTTAAGTGTATTCATCACTACCTGGTCTTTCATATGCATTCAGTAAATATTTGTTGAATCAGTGTATAGATCAAGTTTCACTCTTTCTTTTTTTAAAAAAAAAAATTTATTGTAAAAATACATAACAAAATTTACCTTTTGAACTATTTTTGAGTATACAGTTCAGTGGTGTTAAGTATATTCACAGTGTTGTATGATCATTAATACTGTCTGTTTCCAGATATTTTTATCATTCCAAACAAAAACCCTGTACCCGTTAAAGTGTAACTCCCCGTTACCCGCCGCCTTCTCAGCCCCTGGTAACCTCTTTTCTGCTTTCTGTGTCTCTGACTTTGCCTGTTCTCAGTGCCTCGTGTAAGTAGAAGTTATTTTATTTGTCCTTTTGTGTCTGGTTTATTCCACTTAGCATGATGTCTTCAAGGTTCATCCATGTTGTAGCAGGTATCAAAACTGCATTCCTTATTTTATGCATAATATTCCATGGTGGTTACTTGTTTTTACACATTTTGTTTATCCATTTATCTATGGATGGATACTTGAGTTATTTCCATCTTTTGGCTATTGTGAATAATGCTGATATGAATCTTGGTATATAAGTATCTGTTTGAGTCTCTGATTTTAAATCTTCTAGGTATATACCTAAGGGTGGAATTATTGGATCGTAAGATAATTCAATGTTTAACTTTTAGAGGAACCTCCAAGTTGTTTTCCACAGCGGCTGCATCATTTTATATTCCCACCGGCAATGCATGAGGGTTCCAGTTTCTCCACATCCTCACTAACATACATATTTATTTATTTACTTACCTGTTTGTCTATGATAACTGTACTACTAGGTGTGAAGTGATACCTCATTGTGGTTTTGATTTGCATTTCCCTAATGAGTAGTGATGTTGAGCATCTTTTCTTGTGCTTTTTTGATTTAAAGTCTGTTTTTTCTGACAATGATATAACCATCCCAGCTCTCTTTGGTCACTGTTTTCATTTTTAATGTCTTTGTATCTGTGTCTAAAGTGAATCTCTTGTACACAGCGTACAGATGGATCACGCTCTTTTATCCAGTCTGCCAATCTCTGCTTTTAAGTAAGAGAGTTTAATCCATTTACACTTAAAGTAGTTACTGATAAGGATTTTCTTCTGCCACTTAGCTGTTCATTTTGTGTATGTCTTTTATGTTTTTTCTTCCTCATTCCTCCATTCCCAAACCAAACCTGTTGCCATCGAGTCACTTTTGACACATAGCTACCCTATAGGATAGAGTAGAACTGCCCCATAGGGTTTCCAAGGCCATAAATCTTTATGAAAGTAGACTGCAACATCTTTCTCCCATGGAGCAGCTAGAGGGTTTAAACAGCTGACTTTCTGTTTAGTAGCCAAACACTTAACCACGGTGCCACCAGGGCTCCTTCATTCCTCCATTACTGCCTTAATTTATATTTAATTGAATTTTCTAGGGTACCATTTCGATTCTCTTGCTTCCTTTTTATTTTTTAGGTATTTTCTTGTGGTTACATTGGGGATTACAATTAACACCTTAAACTTAGAACAAACTCATTTGAGTAACACCAACTTAGTTACAATGGTATATATATGTGTATATATGTACATACACACACTTATACACTCTATATCTTCTATACATCTCATCTCTCCCCGTTTATATTGTCGTAACAAATTATATTTTATATATTATATGCCCATTAACATAGATTTGTAATTGTTTTTTTTTATGCATTTGCCTGTTAAATTATATATGAAATAAGGAGGAGTTACAAACCGAAAGTACAATAATGGTAATAATATTATTTACCTATGAAATTACCTTTATTAATATTTTTTATTTCTCATGGCTTCAAGTTACTATCTTGTGTCTTTTCATTTCGGCCTGAAGGACTCCCTTTAGCATTTTTTGTAGGTTTACTGGTAATGAACTTCCTTAGCTTTTGTTTATTTGGGAATGTCTAAATTTCTCCTTCATTTTTGAAGGACAGTTTTACTGGATATAGAATTCTTTGTTGACAGTTTTTTTTTTTCCCAGTACTTTAAATATGTCAGTCTGCTGCCTTCTGGCCACAGTGGTTTCTGATGCAAAATCAGCTGTTAATCTTATTGAGGATCGCTTGTCTGTGACACTTGGCTTCTCTCTTACTGTTTTAAGATTCTCTCTTTGTCTTCGGTTTTCAACAGTTTGGCTATAATGTTGTGCCTGTTTGGATCTCTTTGAGTTTATGCTGCATGGTGAACTTTTTGGATGTATATATTCATGTCTCTCAGATTTGGGAAGTTTTCATCAGTTATTTCTTCAAAAAAAAATTTTCTGCCCTTCTTTCTCTTATCTCCTTTGAGGACTTGATGCACTTGATAGTGTTCCAGCATACATTCAGGCTCCGTTCATTTTTCTTTATTCATTTTTCTCTCTGCACCTAAGACTCGATAATTTTGGTTGTTTTATCTTCAAGTTTGCTGATCTTTTCTTTTGCCTGTTCTAATCTACTGTTGAATCCCTCTAGTGAATTTTTTATTTCAGTTACTATACTTTGAGCTCCAGAATTTCTGTTTGGTTCCTTTTTACAATTTCAGTCTATTTTCATTTGTTCATGCATCATTTTTCTAATTTCTTTTAGTTTTTTGTCCATGGTTTCCTTTAGCTCATGAGCATATTTAAGACAGTTGCTTTAATGTCTTAACTCATAATTCCAATGTTTGAACTTCCTCAGGAATGGTTTCTATCAATTTTTTCCTACTGTATGTGACCTGTACTTTCGTGTTTCTTTGTATATTTCATAATTTTTTTGTTGACAGCTGGACATTCTGGGTGTTATAATGTTGTAGCTCTGGAAGTCTGATTCTCTCACTTCTTAGTGATTGCTCTTTGTTGCTTGTTAACAAAGGCTGCAATTGTCTGTTTAATGACTTTTCAAAACTATTTTTGCAGAGTGTGCATACCAATTGTGTGTGGTTACTGAAGTTTCTGTTCCATTATCTCTGTGGTCAGCCAGTGGCCTGACAGGTTTCTCTCTCTCTCATACAGACACACACACACGCACGCACGCACGCACGCACGCACGCACGCACGCACACACACACGGACGGACGGCACGCTGACCCATTAAGCTGCTGCTATTGGGAGAAGCCACTGCTGTGAGAGGACCAAAACCAAGGCAGTTGTCTGTGCCTTAGGGCACTTCTAGACCAACCCAACTGTGCAAACTGTGAAATCCCAAATCCTTAGTGGACAAGGTTCCCGCTGCCTGCCCAGGCATCAGCCGGCTGCTCTAGGACTGTGGCAGCTATCCCTCCCGCTGTGCAGGACTGAAGAATGAGATGTTGTAGACAGTTGGGGCATGTGGGCTCACCTAAGAAAGATCAGCAGCCTGTTCTTTCTTCAAGCACTCCCCTGCTTTATGGAAGTATTAGATCAGATTCTAAAGTTTCAAAATAGCTGACTCCAATTGCTCTTTCTAGTTCAATTGTTTTAGTAAAGGGGTCAACTTCTGAAGCTTCCTACTCCGCCATCTTGCATGATGTCACCCTCTCACACTCTTCTTTTATGGCCAAGAGAACCAGGACCCACAGAGACTGCTTGCCCTCAGTTATATAGTAGGTCATTTTGAAATGATGAGGGAACTTGTTTTTTTTAGTATATATTGTTATTTCATAATTTATACGTTTTGACCTGTTGGGTTTTTACATGTTAAGTTTTAAAGCAGGGCAAACTTGTTATTGTTTTTCCAACTTTTTATCGTGAATGTTTTCAAACATATAGAAAAGTTGAAAGAATACTCCAACAGACACCTCTATATCCTTTACATAGATTTAGCAATTCTAGGTATTTGCTTTATCGCTTTATATAGATTTTTTTCTGTGACGTTTAAGAATAAGTATCAGACATCATGACGTTTTACCTCTGTATACTATATTATGCGTTTTCTTAAATAAGGACATTATTACATACCCACAATATCATTATCAAACCAATCAAATAAGTCCATCACATCATCTAATATCCACTGCACATTCAGATTTACCCAGTGGAGGGAATTATTTTTAACTAAAATACAATTAAATGTGAATCGGACTATTTTTAGTGGCATTAATTTTTTAAATAATTATTTCTTGCTACTGAAGAAAAACCAAACCAAACCCGTTGCCGTCAAGTCTGTTCTGACTCATAGCGAGAACTGCCCCATAGGGTTTCCGAGGAGTGGCTGGTGGATTTGAACTGCCGACCTTTTGGTTAACAGCCAAGCTCTTAACCACTGCACCACCAGGGCATGTCCTTTAAGAGTGCATGCACAGAATAAGCACAAATTCAGAATTATAAATCAAATTTAATCTTACCCTACCTACAACAGTCTCTTGACACCTCGTGTATATTTTTCCAGATTCTTCTCTACACCTGTATGAGATTTTAAAGTGGATATATAAAACAAGTATACTGTTTTGTTACTTGCTTTTTCCCCTTAGCATATGGTAAGCGGGGGCAGCGGTGGTTCGGTGGTAGAATTCTGCCCTTCCGTGTAGGAGACCTGGGTTCATTTCCCACTAAGTGCACCTCGGGTGCAGCCACCACTCCTTTGTCATTGGAGGCTTCTGTGTTGCTATGATGTTGAACAGGTTTCAACAGAGCTTCCCAGCTAAGATGGACTAGGGAGGATGGCCTGGTGACCTACTTCTGAAAATCAGCCAATGAAAATCCTGTGGGTCACATGGCTGAATTCACAGCCAATCATGGGGATGGTGCAGGATCAGGTAGCATTTCATTTTGTTGTGAATGGGGTCACCATGATTCGGGACCTGACTGGATGGCAGCTGACAAGAATAACATACTGTAAACATCTTTATGGTTGACTTCCACAACATTTAATGGCATCATACTGTTTTTTTATTTTACCTATATCATAATTGATTGAATTGTTGAATAAAAATCCTTCTGTTGGATTTTTAGGCTATTGTTTCCAACTTTAGACTACTACAGATACCACTGTAACAAGTATCTTAACTCTCCTCTCCTTAGAGGAGAATCTTGGAAGCAGAATTGCTGGGTCAGAGGGCATGAGCATTTTTAAGGCTTTCGCTACATATTGTCACATCATGCGCCAGAAGGATTAGGCCATGTTATATTTCAAATAAAAGGCAAGAAAATATCTTCTAATTTTTCCTTAAAAACCTCCATTTCTCTTACTTTATGACAGTGTGCAAAAAGATTTGATGAACTGAAGAGCAGTGGAGGCTCACCTGTGGACAACCAGTACCATCCTCTGATGGCTGCTGGAGAGAGTCCTGTGGGAACATTAGCCACGTATATCCGATCCTCACTGCTTGACCCACACAGGGAGTTTCAGGACTCTCCCGCTGGTCCGGATGGAGTGTCCAAAACAGGTAGGGCTCTAAAACAAAATGCAGTACTTTCTTTACGATAATTCTGCAGAATGTTATATGTTGCAGTCAATTTTTCTTGCTTTGTTTAAAGACTAATATAAACATTAAAAGAAAAATCTATTAATATTTTTATCTTCCTGAAGTTTAAAAATGATCATCTGTCTTTGCTGTTTTTTTTTTTTAATTTTTAAAATGTTAATATATAGATCGAATACCCTTACCAAAAAAGAGTTCTTTATTATAACAAACTTCCCACTCCAGTCTGTTAACGTATTTATTTTCGGTATTATTTATTATTTCCTATGAATATTCTTTTACTTCATTTTAAAGGGATTTGACCTATGCTGTTTAATTTATTTTTTTTCTGAGAGAATCTTGCTCCTCTCTCTTGTAATCTTTGTTACAGCTACCCTTATTGACACAAGCTATGGCAAGGTAGAAGAGATGCTTTCTGCAGTCACGTTGGAAATAATAACTGGTTTTAGAAATTCTCAGAGTATACTGAGTTATTTTCACCTCAGCAGTAGTCAGAGTATTGATGTAAAATTTGCTTCAGGAAGAAAGAATTATATTGTTGCCTTCTGAACATTTGGTCGCTATTATATACAACAATTGTTATTTTTTACACTTTAGTTTGTAACATTAGTAATTCAGTATCCTTTATTTGACTAATGCTTTCTTTAACTAGCTTTGCAAACCATGTATTTACATTATCACCACTCACTAAGTGAAAACCTGCTCTGAGCTAGAAATGCTAACACCCTCCCCTCCGTTTTTTTGTGTGTTTCTGCATTTAAGGAAGACATAGTATAGCTTCCACAAGGAACTGTTCTTCAGAAAGTGAAAATTGTACTGCTCATAATGGTGAAGAGACAGAAGAATCTGAAGGGTAGGAGGCTGGTTGTTTGTAGAGATTTAATATCATTATCAACTTTAAATTTTAAAATACGTCACTTACCATAATTTAAGAATTTCGTATCACACAATTGCTGAAATACTTAGAATCAGCTTAGTTCATATGTTGAACTGTAAACAATTGCTTAATACCTAAATATATGACTTATTCATGTTGCTACTAAAAATTGGGCTACTGTAGTTTTCCGTTTTCATTGTATGCTTTATATGTAATAAACTGCGCATTTTAAGTGTTCACGTTGATGAATTTTGACAAATGTATACACCAGGTAGCCATCACCCAAATCAAGATACAGAACATTTTCATCATCCCTGCAAGTTCCTTTGTGGTCCTTGAGTTTTGATAGATTTTTTATAACAGCTTTGTTAAGACACAATTCATGTAAAACTATAAAATTTACCCCCTTAAGTGTACAGTTCAGTAGTTTTTAGTTTATTCACATAGATTTTTAACTGGAGGGTTTGTTTGTCAGATAATTTTTTTTACTAGAATTATCTGTTATCTCATATTGTGGTCCAAAGTCTACAGAACTTTTATTTTACCAGCTGTTGCATGCTTATATTTTAACCACAATTTCTTTGAAAGAAAGTTATATAAATTTGTTTTTGTAAAAGTTATAGAAATTCCTTTGACTTTGAGAGAGCATTGATTATAATCCTTTTTCTGGTAGCCCAATTTTATTTCAGATGTAAAATTTTTGTATTAGTGGTTTTTGAGGTTCAATGAAGCACACAATAAATTCATACTGTAGGACAGTGTATCTCTTCCTATTTATTCTCTTCCTTTTGTAATGACATGAAGGCAGATGTGGATCACACTGATGTTTCTTTTTGAGGTGATATAATTTTCAAGGGAAAGTAAATTTGAGGAATATGTAAGTTTTGAAGCAATCTTTCTGATACATCATTTAAAATTATTCGTGAATTATTTTTAAAATATGTAAATAAGCATAGTATAGTCTTAATAATTCTTTTAACCACATTTACTAATTTATATTTAATGAATGCCTGGAAGCAAACTTTCTTGCCATTAAAAAAAATAACTGATGCTAGTTTTTTTTATTCTTTAATGAATAATCTTAGCTGCTTTTTCTATTTTTAGATAGTAAGAAAATTTTAGTATTGGATTTTTACCTCCATCCCACACTCATAACCACGGAAAGGTGCTGTTTTGTGTTCCTCATAAGAATTAGAATGTATTACTTAATTTTTCTTTGTGAATTGATAATCTTTTTATAAATTTAGTTCATTTATAACTTGAAAAATAAATTTTAAACCATGTAAATGATCAGTCTTTTAATAAAAATATATTTTGTTTTATTAAGTCAGTAGCTTACTAAAATTAGTCACTCTAAAATATGATTAGATTAGCAAGACACTTGAAAAATTCAAAATGTGAAAATTGACTATATCAAAAACTTCTTGTTCTCCTTCCTCCGAAAAAATGTCAGTATTCCTGGCTCCTCTTCTAAGACTCTAATCGTTTCATTTCTGTGTAACATTTTTTATGAAGGCCAAATATGGTGATCCATGTATGTGATGAAGCAAAAAACTTGAAAGAAGATTTTATTTGCCCACGAGATCTTTTGATATCAGAAATGAAGTACTTTGCTGAATATTTATCTATGGACGCCCAGCGCTGGGAAGAGGTGGACATTTCAGTTCACTGCGACGTTCACATCTTCACCTGGTTGATAAAATATGTTAAAAGGAACACTAAGGAGAAGAAAGATTGTGAGATGCCCGTTTTAGGTAAAAAAGACAATCTATTGCTTATTTTGTAGTGAAATTTGTGTGTCACCGGATAGTTCCTTTAAACCAAAAATGAAATGTGGAAAATTGTGTGGACATTAATTGTTATGCTCAGATTAGTAACAGCCTTTTAGGCAACTGATATACCTCATCCTTTTTTTTTTTTTTTAGTAAATTAGAGTGAATTTTTGGCAAATGGGCAGGTCTTTAGGTCAACGGGTCTCAAATTGTGGTACATGGACCCTTGGGTTCCTGGAGACCCTTTTATAGGGTCGACAAGGTCAAAATATCTTCATTATTATTTTCATGTTAATACTAAGATGCTATTTGTCTTTTTCTCAGATGTTATAAAAGCAGTGGAGTGTAAAACTGTTGGAGCTTTAGAATGATGCAGACTGCAGTAGTAGAGTTTGTATTCTTCAACACCATGCACTCATAGTTAAAAAGGGAGAAAAGAAAGAGGCTAGTTTCATTGATGAAGCAGTAGAAATTACTCATTTTATTAACCCTTGATCCATGAGTATGTATCTTTAATGTCCTGTGTGATGAAATGAGAAGTGTACTTCTGCATACCCAAGTGTGGTGTTGTCTTGAGGAAGAGCACTTGTGCAATGGCTTGAATTGCCAGCTAAACTATAGCTGCCTTTTTCAAATATAGAAAACTGGTTTTTACTTGAAAGACTGGCAGATAAACTATGGTTATTCAAAGTATGGTAGACATTTTCTGGAACATGAACAAAGTGAGTTGGTCACTTTGAGAAAAACAACTGACGGTATCTGTTGCCAATGATAAAATTCAGGCTTGCAAGTGAGAATTAGAGTTTTGAAGAATTTGCGTATGCTTTCATGAGCTTCTTAATACTTACACACTTTTCTGACGAGATTATTTTGATGTGATGATGAAATCATATTAATGAATGTGATTTTTAAAACGTGTTGTTTAATGAAATACATAACATTTGGAAGATCTATACAACTCGGTAAACCAATGTTTACCAGGTGAGCAGGGCATGATGTTTAAAAACCATGCATGGGTCAAATATCCATACAAAGTGCAAGATAAACCAATGGATTTTGATGTACTGAAGTTGGAAAAGTTCACTGGTATGATTTCAGATTCCATATTGCAACTAACCTTTAAGAAACTACTATTTGTCAAGTTTGGTGTAGCATCAAAGGTGACTACCCACAAATGAATGCAGACGCAGGTAAGAGCATTCAGTCACCTTCTGTTAAGCCAGATACTGAAGATATTTACAACAATGTAAAACACTTATTTTTATGGCTAAGTTTTCTTGGTTGGGAAGATATAGTCATTTTTCATAAAAAGATTTATGTTAATGAATTTGTTATTTTTTAATGAACTATGTATATTGGATCAGGGATGTGAACTGGGTAAGGGTGTTACATCTTACCCTAATCCTTTTATCTCATTAACCACAGGCAGAGATTAGGATTTATAACACACAGGAAAATTACAATCACAAAGTGGAGGACAACCACACAACAGTGGGAATCATGGCCTAGCCAAATTGATGCACATATTTTTGGGGGACACAGTTCAGTCCATGACATTGACTTTTCATTTTTCCCAAGCTGTTCTCAGGATTCTTTCTTTGTCTTTGGTTTTGGCAAATGTGATTATGATATGTCTTGGTGACTTTCTTTTCAGGCCTGTTCTGTGTGGAATTTGTTGAGCTTCTTGGATGGATATCTTCCCATCTTTCATGATATTAGGGAAATTTTCTGCTAGCAAATCTTCACTGAATCTCTTTGTGCTTTTTTTTTTTTTTGGCCTCCTCCTATTGTAGCATTCTGGCCACGTGTACATTTTTCCTCTTGATAGTGTCCCACATAATTCTTAGGCTTGCGTTAGTCTTTTTTCTGATTTTTCCTCAAACAAATTGGTGTCATGGGATTTGCCTTCTAATTTGCTGATTCTGTCTTCCGTTGATTCAGTTTTGCTCTTTTTTGCTTCTGTTGAGTTGTCCATTTCTGAAATTTTATTGTTAATCGTTTGGATTTCTAGGTACTGTTTTTCGCATGGTTTCTGATTGTCTGTTTATTTTATTGTTCTGTTTTTGTATTGTTTTCCTGAATTCTTTTATTGCTTTGTTTGTGTTTTCCTTGATTTTGTCTATTTTACTTGATCTCTTGGAGAACCCTGTAAGTCTTTTGACTTCCTTATCAGGTATTTCTATTACCATTTCTTCCTCTGGAAAGTTTTCTGATTCTTTATTTTGGTCACTTTCTGGAGCCATCTTGTCCTACTTCTTCATGTGATTTATTGTCTCTGAGGCATTAAGATGTTGTTATATTTATTCATTTATTATATGTTTGCTGCATCCTGATTTTGTTTTTTATCTGAGTAGATGGGGTGTGCATGCTAATCTGGTGGCTAGCCTGGCCCCACGGGAGTTCTCACCACCTATCTCTGGGTGGGTGTGTGTGGGTCTCTGTTCTCGGGTCTTGTGGGGCAGCTGGGGATGTAGCTGGCATTGCTGGTGAGGTGATGTGTCTGGCTGGCTGGTCACCTGGGCATGGGTGCAGGGAGCGTTCTTCCTGGTTGCTGGGCTGTGTGTTCTGTGAGCACATTGCTGGTTGCCAGGTGGTCGGGGCGACGGTGCCTGGGTCTTACTGGGTGTGTGTTATGGAAGCTCTCACTAATGGTCCCAGTTGGGCAGAGCTGCACAGCAGTGGCTGAAGTGGTCAAAGCCTCTGGTTGCTGAGGGGGACGTTGTGGGGGTTAAGGCAGGGAGCGTGCTGCCGGTCCACTGGTGCTCAGTAGGAGGGCATGCTCCTGTCTGCTAGCTTGCGACGTGGGGAAGGTGTGCCGCCAGTCCTTGGGCCCCTGGTGCAGGTGGTCGGGGGAGTAGGAGGCGCCACTGGTCCATGGGCCCCAGTGCGGGAGGCTGGGTGTACGAGTGAGCACCTCCAGTTCACAGGCTCCCAGCGCCACCAGCCTGTGGGCCCCTGGTATAGGCGGCTGGGCACAGCAGGGGGTTCTGCTGGTCCTCAGGCCCTCGGCACAGTTGGTTGGGCAGAAGAGGGGATACATCCAGTCCCCAGGTCACTGGTGATGGTGGCCAGGCAGAAAAGCAGATGCTGCTGGTCTGCAGGCCCCGGCGTGGGTGGGGGGGCCGAAGAGGGGGTGCCACCCGTCATGGGCTTCCAGTGCAGGTGGCTGGGCGGAGAAGTGAGCACCACCAGATTATGTGGATGCGAGAGGGGCCGCCACTGGTCCACAGGCCCTGGTGCAGGTGGCTGGGTGGAGAAGCAAGCGCTACCAGTCCATGGGTTCCTGGCTCGGGGTGGGACGGTGGTGGGTGCTGCCAGACTGCGATCATGTGGGTGGGATGGATGAGAGAGTGGGCGGGGCACTACAGGTCCACAGGCCTCTGGCACAGGGGGTTGGGGGGCACTGTGGGTGAGGTGAGTGCCCTTAACTTTCACAGGGCAAAGAGCACTCCTTCCTGGCTCTGAACGTGAGTACAGAGTCACTCCTGCTTGGCTGTACCAGGTGATGGGGCTTCAGCTGGGAATGTTGCTTGCTTTGTCTCAGTATGGCTGTGTTATGTAGGTTTGGTTGGCAGGGCACCAGTGATCCACAGTTCTCCGTGTTCACTGTTTTTGTACAGTCTCTCCTTCCGCTTGGCATTTGGTGCGATTTTTTAGCCTTGCCTTATACGCTCAGGGTTCCAGAGTTGTCGTCTACATACGATTCACTTGTTTTCTTGGTCTTTGATGTAAAAAAGGAGGTTATGTCACATCTGAGTGTGCTGCCATCTTGGACCACCTCCTTGACTGAGTATTTTCCCTGTAGTCTAGATTTCATGGTGAATTTTCTTTCTTTCATGTATCTGAGCCGTTTGATATAGTAAGATTATATTAAGTTGTTTTTATTAGAGCAACATCTGCATTACATCTTCTCTTTTAAGGTGAGAAGGAGCCTCTTCTGGGGAGATTGAGTTACAAATCAAAAGGAAAAATTAATTTTTTTTTTCTCTTTGTAGAGCCAGGAAATGTCATTTCTATTCTTATTTCTTCAGAGTTTTTGAAAATGGATTCATTGGTAAGTGTTAATAAAAGAGCCAGGCTCTTTTGTTCACCTATGCTTGATTTAACAGGTACGCTTTGATTTTTCCTCCAAAGGTCTAGAAAATTCTAAGACATCTTACTAAAATAGTTGTTAATTCAAGGGTGTGATTCTGTTAGAATAATCAGCTCACATTTGAAGATACTTTGTTCTGAAGAGGAGGGGTTTAGGCCACTATGTATTATGTGTGTGTTATGCCTATAAATCAAGCAACTTAGCCTCAAGGAGTAGCTCACTGTTGTACTGGATGAAACTGAACAGAATTAACTTTAACTTTACCCCAAAAGGACCAAATTAAGTGAAAATTTTAATCGGAATATGTTTGTTCCACTGATTTCTTTAAGTATGTTTTGCTTATTTGTGTCTTTCATTTCTAGTTGAGGGAATGAAGACTGAATACCCAAATGTTAGACAGTGCGATTTTCTGTGTAACTGTATCACAGATGCTTGTATCCATTGCTTAAAAGGAGCTGATGATACATAAGAGTGCAATACATACGTATACATTTCAAGCTCTAATTTTTTTTCTTTTTTTCTTTATGGAGCCCTGGTGGCACGGTGGTTAAAGTGATTAACGGCTGACTGAAAGGTTGGCAGTTCAGAACTACCCAGTGGCTCCTCGGAAGAAAGGTGTGGCAGTCTGCTTCCGTAAAGACAGCCTTGGAACCCTGTGGGGTTTGCCATGAGTCAGAATCAACTCAATGGCAGTGGGTTTAGCTTTTTTTTTTAAATAGATTTACTTATTATTTAAATGTTCATATATTTTTTTGAGGTTTTATTTTAAATGAATATTTCAACTCCTGATAAAACTCCACAAGGCAGGGTCCTCCTTTACTGTGTTAGCAGAGGTGAACTCTGTTGGATTGTTTGGGCTTTTATTCGTCCCTGTATTCTTTCTACTCCTTAGCCTTCCCCATTCAGCCAGCTGGTATTAATTGCTTCAGGAAAGAGTTACAGAAAAAAGAAAAAGAAAAAATTGTAAGAGTCCTTAACTTTTGAGTTTTGAAGTCTAAGCCCCAAAGGATGATTTTTATGCCAGAAACAAAAATTTTGGAAAAATACATAATTAGCAAGTGCTAGTTTTCCCCCTAAAGCCCACGTCCTCCTTTAAAAGTACATAAATATGCCTCAGGTTGGAGAGAGGGGAAGAAAGTCAGAGAGGAACCCACCACAGCTGAGGAAATCCTAAACTGGCTGAAATTTTATTTCTGCCACCCAGAGAAATGGAGGCTTAAAGTCATCACTGAGTTTAGTTACAGGAAGTCACATATCCTGTAGCTTGAGTTTGTGGACTAAGATTTATACCTGCCACTTCCATGAAGGGTGATCGTTACTTAGTGTTTGAAATATTCCAAAAAGGTGAGAACTATTTTTCCAGGTATGTGCTTGTGTTTTTACAAGTTTGACCTGCTGGGCCACTTTCGAAAAGCGTTTATTAGCTCAGATAGGCAGTACCCGGGCAGTGCCTAGCAATACGTGGATTAGACTTTTAATGACTTTTTATCTTTGGGAAGTACTGATGAAACTTTGTGCTACTATTTTCAACATTAATTTTCTATTCTGTGTTTTTTTTAGGTTGAACAGTGCATTCAGTATTGCCATAAAAATATGAATGCCATAGTAGCTACCCCATGCAACATGAACTGTATTAATTCAAACCTTCTTACACGTATAGCGGATCTGTTCACACACAATGAAATTGATGATTTAAAGGACAAGAAAGATAAATTTAGGAGGTAATTTTAAAAATTTTATTTTTAACCTGATGTTTCTATTAGAAGAAATATATTTCTATTTTATTTTAGTGTATTTTAAGTGAAGTAGAATTTATCCAGAGCCAGTGGCTCATGATAAAAACCAGTAATTAAATTAGTTATTTTATATAATGTACATGTGAGTATATTGTGGTAGTGAATTATGATAAAGATTATTAAGACAGGCCTTAGCATAAAGGGAAGGAGTGGTCTAAGACAAGGTAAGCAGTGGTCGAGTCACCCAGGGGCTGTTCAGACCATCACAAGAAGGATGTACTTTATTCTGAGTGTGGCTGGAAGCAGAGGAGTGCCATGATCTAATCTAATTTTTAAAGATCGTTCTAGTTGCTATGTGGGGAACAGATTGTAGGTGTATCAGAACAGAAGGAGCTGAGTAAAAGATGGCAGGGTGTGGACTGGGGTGGATGCAGTGGGGCTGGAGAGAAGTAGATGGATTCAGGGTATGTTAGAAATGTTTAACAGGTTTGTGATGGAATGATGTGGGCAAAGAGAGGACTCAAGGATACTAACTAGATTTTGAGCTTGAGCAGCTAAGCAGATGGTGGTACCATTTGTGCAGAGAGGAAAGACTGGGGTGAGAGGAATCAAAAGATGGATTTGGATCTTCAGATTATTTAATGTGCTTGTTGGACATTTAGGTATGAGTGGCAGGGTGATAGTTGGATAGACAAGTCTGGAGTTGAGGTCAGAGCTCAGGGCTTAAAATAGATAAAGAGCAAATGAAGTGTGAAGCCTTGGAACTGGGTGAGATTTCCTAGCAAGAGACCATGGTTAGTGTTTTTTGTGTTCTGTTCCAGAAATCTTTGCCTACCTACGGGTGGTGAAGATAATCTCCTGTGTTTTTCTGTCCTCTCTCTTGAATTAATTGTTAGATGAGGTAGGAGTCAAGGTTCATTTTTCTCCTGGAGAGTTATCTGGTTGACAAAGCACCATTTATTGAAAAGGCCATCTGTGCCCACTGGATTGCAGCGATGGCTTTACTGTACGTCACATCTGTATGCGTGAGGTCTGTTTCTGAGTTCTTCGTTTTGTGTGTTCTTGTGTCAGTAACACACTTTTAATTATAGTAACTTATTTACAGTAACAAAGGGCTAAAGATAGGTAGATACCTATCAGTGTTATTTTTCTTGTAAAAACAGATTCTTGATCAAGCAATTCTCATTAATAGGTATATTTACTTAGTAGAGCACCTAAAATGTATTATAAACTCCCAAAGAGTTCTCCAAGGATTTATTAATCTAATCTTACACATGTACAAATAGATCATGTTTATTTTAATGACTATCAAGTAGCTTTAGGAAAGTAAATGTAGAAAATTAATTTGTTGGTCATTTGTTGTTAATAGTAAACTTTTTTGTAAGAAGATTGAGAGACTGTTTGATCCTGAGTACTTGAATCCAGATTCTCGGAGTAACGCGGCCACGTTATACAGGTACGGTAACGTGTTCTTCTTTGGCGTGCACTGTAATGCAGCTAAATTCTTTACTTTTACTACATTTAAAATTTTCTTGAATGTTTTTATGTCTTTGTGTTTTATAGATGTTATTTGTGTAAGAAACTTTTAACAAAGGAAACAGAAAGACGAATTCCTTGCATTCCTGGAAAAATCAATGTGGATCGACATGGAAATATTATCTATATTCACCTAAGGTGTGGTGAAAATAAAATACATCTTTTTTATGTGAATTTCTAGTGTATTTATAAAAGCATAACTGTGCCTATAAGGAATCGAATGTCCTTTTTTTGCATGTGATCCAATTTTGATTTACAAAGATGCTACTTTCAGAACAAGCTAAGGCAGCTCTAAAGGCGGTATTTTACTTACTGGATAAAGTTCATGATTTTTTAAGCTTTAAAATAAGAAAAGTTATTGTGTCTTAATCATGAAAGATATTCTGGTCAGTGCTATTAAAATATAATTTCACTAACAGATTTTAATTGTATAAATATTATATTGAATTTTATAATAGAACTGAATTTACTTTCATGTGAACTTTTGCAAGTGAGAAAATTGTCTTTAAAATTGGATTTTCTATAATCTATTTCTGAGTTCATCATATTTTGTCAGTATTCCATTAATACATAGTCTTTTTTTTCCTTTTGAATACAAAACAAGTTCTCATTCTGAAATGGGGAGGGGGTTGTAAAATTGGTGCAATATTTCAGAAAGGCAGATACTTTAAGATGTATGCATTCTTTGACAATATCCTACTGCTAGGAATTTATGCAAAGAGGTAATGTTAGACTTATATTTATTGCTGTATTTTTAAAGTCGCAAAATAAATAAGTAGATAAACAGACACCCAAATAATTAAACAAATTAAAATCTAGCCATACAATAGTGTGTCTATATAAAGCACACCTGATCTGTTCTTAATGTGGACCCTTGAAGAGTAACGTGGTAAAGGAATATGCTGTGCTTACCTGAGAAGTTATGAGTGGTTAGTTGAGGGACAAACACGCGTTAGGAGACAAAACTGGAATATGTCCGTGTCACTAAAATGTCAACTGTAGGGTTACCTTTGGGGGATAGTGTTCGGGATCACTTTAGTTCTCTTTTTACTTCATTTTTCTTCTGTGGCAAAGATGCATAGCACTTTTATTAAAGAAAAACCCTACAAATGTTGGATTTCATATTGTAAACATTAAAACAGCAATGCAGGGAAACATTTCACATTTGGCTTTAGTATTAGTAGCACAGTCAACCTTAAAATGTTTCATTTTTCTCTCAGTAATCAAGGAATCTTCATTAGATATGTCAAGCCACTGGGATTTTATAGGGTGTTTTGTTTTTTGTTTTTTGTTTTTGTCTTGAGACTTGACTCGTGTTGAAAATTACTTCCATTATAACAGCAATAACTATTAATATTAGTATGTGAGAAAAGTAATTTATATTACCTGCAGCATTAGGAGCCCTGGTGGTGCAGTGGGTAAGAGCTCAGCTGCTATCCAAAAGGTCGGCAGTTCAAATCCCCCAGCCGCTCCTTGGAAACCCTCTGGGGCGTTCTACTCTGTCCTGTAGGGTCACTATGAGTCAAAATCGACTCGGGGGCAGCAGGGTTTTTTTTTTCAACATCAATTTTTATTCAAGTCTGCTGTTGACGCACACATTTTAAAAATTGTCCTTAGATAATTTTTAAAACAGATTGTTTCTATGTGATTTGAAATGCACAGTGACATTTTGTTATTCGTGGAACTAAGGGAAAAAAGAGCAAAAGATTAAAATAGGGGTTTGAAAATAAATAGGGACTGACCATAGCAAATTTGGTTTTAAGCCTTTGCTATTTTTTAACTTTATGTTACTGAATTACAAAATGTGTATTACCTAGACCCAATTGTATATAACAAACAATATTAGTCAATTATTAGAAAATGTCTTTTGAAAATAATATGAAGAACTGGTACATTAATGAAATGCTTAGAATCACCAGTAGTTAATATGAACTTATTTTACAACATGTGCAATTATAATAAAGATTCCATTTAACAATATATGCCTAAGTCCCAATTGTTGGCCTATAATGCTTTACCTAGGTTAGCAAATAATTTGGCAGTGAGCTTTTCATACCTTTTTCTGTTGCCCACGGAGTAAACTTCCAAAGGAAGTCTTATCTGCCTGGCACTGTCCATACCACATCCATCATTTGGGAAAATGTTCTTGGAAATAAGCCACACACTTAAAAACATCCGTTTAAAACAAATTGTTTATATTGCTTGCTTGTAAAATAATATAACAGTTGAGGCTCTTTTCCCTAGAGACAAGACTTGGGATGTTCACGAATATTTGAATAGTTTTTTTGAAGAATTAAAATCTTGGAGAGATGTATATTGGCGCTTGTGGGGAACGGTCAACTGGCTGACTTGCTCAAGATGTTGTCAAGTGAGAATTTTTTTTTTTAATCCTTTTCTGCAAACGTTGAGGGAAAGACCCTTTTCACGTATGCTGTTTAGTTAGTATGTTTGCTTGTGTTTGGACAATAACTGACGTCTCTTTAAGAATCTAGTGGCAAAAATAATGGTGCCGTTAGACATCGCCTACATCGGGCTTCGTTTCTCTGCCCTGTTTCTTCCCTTGTTCAGTTTCAGTGCCGCAACAATCGGTGCCTTGCTGAATTTTTACAAAACCAACAGGTGTTAAGTGACCAGATCCATTTAAAAAAAAAATTTCTGTATCCTCATTTCCTCTATTTCTAACCAAAACTGTTTTTCTACTGGCCCATAAGTTTCCTTAGAAATCCAGAAGCACCTTTGCAGACAGGGTGCTGATATGTGCCCTTTTATCACAACAGTTGGTTCCCAAAAAGTTTTTGTTCTTTTTTTTGTAAAGGAAAGCTGTAATAAAAACACAAGAAAGCTTGCTATTTGAGGGAACCTAAAGTAAACCCACCTGTCCCTGGTGGTCTTGCAGCTGGGATTCTGTACTGTCACCGCCGCGAGCCTTTTATAGAATAAGCAGGTCTTTATAGTCACACTCATTCCTAATTAATCTTAGGTATAAATCCAGAGGGTTCTGTATAAGATTTCTTGTGAGCCCCTGAAGGCTCCCTGCCCCATCAACTTTCTTCTCTCACACGTGGGTGATTATGTTCAGTGGAGAGACGGAAGAGCAGCTTATCACAACCATTAGGGGCGGGATTTTTCAGACTGTATGAGTTCCCACCCAGCTGACTCCCTGTGTCCCCGTGTTTTTTAAAAATCAGGTTTACTGAAGTACTCCAGCACTTGGCATTGTCAGTTGTTTTGGGTTTTTTGGTTTGTTTTTTTTTTAAACTAACAGATAAGTAATGATCCTTCCCACAACTGGGGTAGAAACCAAAACCAAACCCAGTGCTGCCAAGTTGATTCCGACTCATCAGGGATATCAGGCTTCAAAACCTGAGCATGTTAGAATGCAGAAAATTTGGGGGAGATTTTTTTTCTTTTTTTATAGCAAAGTGAATAATGATTTTTAGTATTTATTATGGAGAGTTTATAAATCACCTGAATTTGTGTGCAAAATACTGCGTATATTAGAGCATGTACCTGGTAGCTCTTATCAGACTCAGTTTTTTTTAATTAAAAGCCTTTGTTTGAAAATCATAATTGGAATTAACAGCTAAGAATTCTGAATTGTAGACTATTCTCTCTTGCTTTCATGTTCAAGATTTTCACTGCTTAGAACTATTAATTTTTTCATGTTCTTAGAATTTTTACCGACTTATATTTGCAACTTATTATTTTATAATTAAACCTTGATAACTTTTTTCACCCATGATTCAGTTACTCAACAATTTTCGTTAGTACTGATGCTAAATATTAGCTTAAAAAATATATCAAGGAATAATCAAGTGAGGCAAAATTATATTTTATTTTTCATTGAAAACTGTTGAGATGACTAGCCAATTATAAAATTGGATATACGTCAAGATCAGTTTACCGTTAACCATTGCTGTTGAGTCGATTCCGACTCACAACAACCTATAGGCCAGAGTAGAACTGCTCCATAGGGTTTTCAAGACTGTAGTCTTTACAGAAGCATACTGCCCCATCTTTCTCCTGCGGAGTGGCTGCTGAGTTTGAACCATTTACCTTTTGGTTAGCAGCCGAGCACTTTAACCACTGTGCCGCCAGGGCTCCTAAGAGCAGTTCAGTCCATCTGAAATTCGAATGAAGTTTTATATGCCACAAAGTCACCCGTTTTTAAGTGTACAAGTCAGTGATTTTATAGTGAATTTAGAGTTGTGCAGTCATTTTCACAGTCCAATTTGGGAACATTTCCAGCACCCCAGAAAGATCCCTTATGCTCATTTGTGATCACCCCCCATTCTCACCCCTACCCCCAGGCAACCACTGTTCTACTCTGTGACTGCCTAGATGTGCCTTTTCTGTACATTTTGTATAAATGGAATCACACTATGCAGTCTTTTTGTTTTTTTGATAGGCATAATTTCATTGTGGAAATAATAATGGTTTACATGCTTCTTTTATTCAGGCTTTTCTCTGTACTGAATTCTCACACTGCCAGTATCACTCAGAAACAGTGGTTTACCCCACTGCAGCAAGCTCACCGAGCACTGTGGGCACTGGAATTTATCCCTGCTGCAACCAAAAGGTTCTTCGGTTTGATCCCACTCAGCCAACAAAGGTAAATTTTGAATGTTGCCCGTTTGTAGTTGACACTCAGCACTCACTAATGCTTTTTATTTAGCTCCTCTCCCCTTTTGTTATTTTTAAAGGATAAAAGTAATACGTTCATGTAGAGAACACTTCAAACAATACATAAATGTTTATAGTAAAAAAGAAGTCTCTCTTCATACCATTCCCCCCTTGTACACCTCTTCTTAGAGGTGATCACAGTTAACAGTTTCCTTTCAGACCTTGTTTATATACTTCAAGTATAAATTATATTTAATTTTTATATTGGAAATGAGATCATACTATTTATTTTATTCTTTCACTCAGCGATATACCTAGGTTATCTTTCTGTGTCATTTAGCTGCTGTGTAATATTCTAAGCTGTTCATAGATCACCATTTATTTAACCATTCTCCTGTTGGTGAACGTTTAAGTTGTTTCCAGATTGATGGTATTACAATAAACATCCTTGCACATGTATCTTGGTGTAATACGTGAGTACTGCTATAGGTTAGATTCCTTGATTGCTAACACTTTTGAAAACGTTATGTAATTTCATGAGTGGATGAAAGGAACCTAAAGCTCTTCCTTATCATCATCCATACAACAAATATTTATAAACATCAAAATATGCCATACACTGTGCAAAGCAGAGAGCATTGTGTAAAGTTAGTTTCTATCTTAATGGAGCTTATAGTTCAGTCATTAATATCAAAAAGGAAAAAAAAAACACACAAAGAAATGTTAAATTGCACCTCTGCTTAGTGTTTAAAGATGTACACAGGGCCACAAACGTCGATAATAAGCTAGTATGACCTGGCCGTTGAAGTTAAGGAATGCCCCCTTGAGGAGCTGACCTTTGGGTGAGAGCCGAAGGATAGTAGGCGTGTGTGAGGCAACGAGGGGAGATAGAACGTTCCAGTCAGAGCAGCAAGGCCTAAAGGAGGCTGAAAGAAGGCTGCTGTGGCTGTTAGAGAAAACATGCATAGTTCAAGACGAGGCTGGAGAGGTAGGCAGGGGCCACACCATGCAGGGCAGGAGTTTGTAGGCCATGTTAATTTTTTCTTTATCCTGAGTTTAGAAAATATCAGTTGCAGTGAAGATAATAGTTTAGGGATTAGTCAGTGGATTCAGGTACAGAGGAAGCTATTACAGTAGTCGTAGAGAGGTGATGATAGCTTGGACTAGGGTAGTGAGGTAAAAGAAGTGGATAAATTCATTGTTTAGGAGGTATTTATTCAGGGAATAAAATAGTAACTGAATTGTATGATAAGTCTGGTATGCGACTTAATGGATAACAGTTGAGTTTTTTTTTTTTTTTTTCTTTTTGTAATTTAAGTGAAAGTTTCCAATCCAAGTTAGTCTCTCATACAAAAATTTATACATACATTGTTATGTGACCCTAATTGCTCTCCCTATACTGTGACAGCACACTCCTCCTTTCCACCCCGGGTTTCCTGTGTCCATTCAACCAGCTCCTGACCCTCTGTGCCTTCTCATCTCACTCCAGACAGAAACTGCCCCTTTAGTCTCATGTATCTACTTGAGCTAAGAAGCACACTGTTCATGAGTATCATTTTATGTCCCATAGTCCAGTCCAACTTTTGTCTGAAGAGTTGGCCTCGGGAATTGTTTTAGTTCTGGGTTGACAGAGAGTCCGGGGGCCTTGCTTTCTGGGGTTCCTCCAGTCTCAGACCATTATGTCTGGTCTTTTTACTAGAATTTGAGTTCTGTACCCCACCTTTCTCCTGCTCCATCAGGAACTGTCTATTGTGTTCCCTGTCAGGGCAGTCATTGGTGGTACCTGGGCACCATCTAGTTCTTCTGGTCTCAGGATGATACAGTCTCTTGTTTATGTGGCCCTTTCTGTCTCTTGGGCTACTACTTTCCTTGTGTCTTTGGTGTTCTTCGTTCTCCTTTGCTCCAGGTGGTTGGGACCAATTGATGCATCTTAGATGGCCGCTTGCTAGCTTTTAAGACCCCAGATACCACTCACCAAAGTGGGATGCAGAACATTTTCTTAATAAACTTTGTTGTGCCAGTTGACCTAGATGTCCCCTGAAAGCATGGTCCCTGGCCCCCCGCCCCTGCTACTCTGTCCCTCGAAGTGTTTGATTGTATTCAGGAAACTTCTTAGCTTTGGTTTAGTGCAGTTGTGCTGACTTCCCTTGTAGTGTGTGCTGTCCTTTCCTTCACCTAAGATAATTCTTGTCTCTTTTCTAGTTAGTGAATACCCCTCTCCCTCCCTCCCCACTCTTGGAATCATCAAAGAACGTTGTCTTTTGTGTTTAAACCTTTTCTTGAGTTCTAATAATAGTGGTCTTATACAATATTTGCTCTTCTGTGACTAAATTCACTCAGCGTAATGCCCTCCAGATTCCTCCATGTTATAAGATGTTTCACGGATTCATTGTTGTTCTTTATCATTGCGTAATCCATTGTGTGAATATACTGTAATTTATCCATTCTTCCATTGATGGGCACCTAGGTTGTTTCTGTCTTCTTGCTATCGTGAACAGTGCTGCAGTGAACATGGGTTTGCATATATCTATTTGTGTGATGGCTCTTACTTCTCTAGGATATATTCCAAGGAG